AAATTAGGATTAATACAATATATATTTCACAAAAAGCATAATAGCATAGATGCATAAATATTCATAAAGCTTAGTCTACATAAGTTATGTGTTAAAATTTAATAAATATTAAAATATTATAAAATAAGGGATTTTTTTTAGATAGGGTAATTAAACCCCATCTCATAAGCAATTAATGCATCGTTTAAATTTTCTTGATTTATTGTTGTTGTATTTAGTAAATTAGGTAAGAAAGATAATTGGTCATCAAAAATGCAATTGTTCTGAATATCAGAAATTTCATTAACGTTAATGTTAACGTTAGAGAAATCGAAAATTCCGAGTCCGTATTGACCATCATATATGGAAGACTGGTTTTCACCAATGAGCAAATGGTTATTTATGACATCATCGTTGACTTGTTGGATTGAAAAATCAAAGTTATTTGGACTAGGAGAATTATTGCTACTAGAAGTTATTGATAAGTCGGGACTCGAATAGATATTTTGATTGCTAAAGAAATCTGTCCAATCAGTAAATAAATCAAGGTCAAAAATTGGTGAATTCATATCAATATCACTTAAATCATAAAAATTGGAAGCGTTATTAGGAGTAACTTGGAGTTGTTTGTGTTTTGTGGATTTATTGACAGATTTCATAGGTTTAGGAATTTTAGCTTTACGAACTGAAGGTTTATCGAATGAAACAGTTTTCCATTGATCCCTCTTCTTTTGAGGTTTTATTTTAGGAAATAATTCATTACGATAATTGAAAGCTTCTTTTGCGATTCTTTTATATTCATTTTTTATTTTTTCAGGTTCTTGTTCCCATGATCGAGATACCATTAGGGAGATGATATTCATTGGCAAGTTATAACCACTTGCACGAGCAGTTTCGACAAATAATTTTCGATAAATCATAAAAGCGTTAGGAGTTTTTGGAACACGACCATCGGGATGAAAAATAACTAAATCATGTGAATTAATTTTTGGTGGAAATGGAAGTTTGATAAGTTGCGAATTGTCGATCACCTGATTTTGAATCATGGGACCATTTCCGGAATTTATGAAGACGCAAGCACGATTAACAAAGTTAGATTGGTTTTCGCTCATGTTATTAAATTTTTGCTAGTTATAAGCTTTAATGCTTTAAATATCAAATTTTCTTTTTTTTATACGCTGAACTGATGGTTTGAAATAATTCTAAATCCCGTTGTATTTATATTTTTCCTGGTCCTGGGCGTAGTTTCTAAATTGTTACAATCCATAAAGTTTATTTAGCTACTAAATGTGGATATTGTTCGGTTCTCTTGGAATTTTTGATCTATTTATAAAATGACGTTATTTTGCACACAATATGTAAATACACCGCGATCATCCCTAATCATTCTAATCGTTCTAAATATAACTTATTGTTGGTGTGCTTGAAATAAATCTTTATGATTCTAAAAAAGAGTGGCGTTATGTCATATCTAAATCCACCGTAAATATACTACATAAGTATATTTTGTTACACTCAATAATTTTATTTGGTTATGGCGCCCAAAATGTGTACGCCACAGAGGTTTGAATTTTATACGTATGCAAAATCAAATTGCTACGGATGTCACATGAGTTGATGTTTTTTTTAGATTAACGGTTTAAAGACAACTTATTTAACAACTCGTAAATAAGAAACATTTGGTGCTTACAAATTCATAAGATTATATTAATCAACATGAAATAAATTGGTTTAATGCCGTATACCAATAAGGCCAGACCAATTTAATTCGGTGGTTTACATTACCTCTCTTTCTCTTAGTAAAAAAAATTTTGGGATATATATAAATGTCGGGCGGAATTAAGATTGGAATCCGAAAAATTCCGAAGAGAAAATGAACGAACATAAAAGACGAGCAAGGCCAGGCCGAAAATTTCCGATTTAAAAGCTTTTTTATTAAAATTTACTATGTTGTTTAATTTTTTATCCTCCTCTTTGAGAGTGGAATGTAATGTAAACCACCTAATTAAGTTGGTTCGGCCTAATCATAGTATCATCTCTCTTAAAAAAGATCCGGGTATTACTCTAGATAAATATATTACTCTAGATAAATATATTCGAAATCTTTTTTGAGCTAATATTGAAACCATGTAAAATATCTCTTTACAATAGGCTTCGCACTAACGAACACAAAACTAATGTTCGGAACCTACC